ATATATCGATTGAACAATAAAATAACAACTATTTTACCTTATAACTATTACCATAAACAAATGCTTGAGCTATATATTTACTCTGAATATAAATATTTTCAATACGTTCTGGTGCAATATATTCGCCCTAAAATATCGAAGACAAATAAAATAAATTTATCTTATAACAAATTTTTAAAGTTCAGATCGATGTCAGATGAGATTTACATCATTCTAGACGAAATGATGTTAAATAATCAGTGGAGATGTTTTGAAGTATTCTAACAGAATATCATACTTTCATTCTCAAGTAAATATATATGACATAGAATTTTTTTTTCATCAAGTGAATCAGATAGACTACCAATGTCATAAATACTTTATATAGGACGTCAATTGTTTGTTACATAAAGATTTTCGTTTTAAAAAACATTCCTGTATTATAAAAGCATAGGTTATCGATTTGAGCTAAAAAGGATGTTAATTGAGTTTTTATTGTGGCTGAAGTAAGTAGATTGGAATGCGTTTGCGAGTAGAAGATGTTAACCAATATCCATCTTTTTTAAACATCATTTTCTGTGTTTGTCTTTATTTGATGTTAGATTTCGTATTATAATAAAAAGTAGGTAGTATGTTTAAATTCAAAAAAAAGAGGATTCATGACATTTATAATAATCAATATGCCTAGCAAACTCTATAATGTGTAGTTAATCAAGAAGAAAAAGAAAAGTATTAATTAAGTGCACCCTAAAAATCCTTCGCTCGTAAAATAGAAATCGTGAAACTTAATATTTTGTGAACTCGATGAATGGAAACTATTTTTAAAAAGCCAATCAAAATTTTAATGAATAGTTTTTGAATTTCGAGTTTACGTTCTCAAATGAAAAAGTATGTTTCTAACATGTTATATATAATATAGAAATAAATAACGAAATTATCTATCAATATCATTTTTGTTTTTCATAAAAATTTTACAATTACATACTTGTGATAATTTAAACATATGTTTCTTTCGATCAATAATTTGAAGGTGACCAGTCTATAAATTCAAAAAAGAACTTCATATTCTTATTTTCAAAAAAATCTTACTTCTGTCCATTTACCAATATCTCCCGTATGTAACCATCCGTTCCTATCAATAGCTTCTCGTGTTTTCTCTTTATCACGATAATAACCTTTAAATACATTTGGACCTTTAATACATATTTCTCCAACATTATCTTTTGCAAAATATTCCATATCGGGTACATCAACTAATTTAATCATATTACAATGTGCTGGTACACCGACATGTCCAGTAGATGGATCGCCAAGTAGATGAGTTGTTGATAAACCACAACATTCTGTTTGCCCATAGCCTTCAATAATATGAACTCCAGAAACACGTCTGAGAAATTGTAGAACTGTTGGTGATAATGGTGCAGCACCACAGAGTATTAATTTAACATGTCCACCGAGACTTTTTTGAACCTGTTGTATAACTAAATCATTCAAAACCTTTTGACGTGCTACAGGATCTTCATTAGCACCATTTTCTTTAGCTGATAATCCCGTAGTAGATAACTGCTGTTGAGATGATTGTAATTGACGAATCGTTGCTTGAATAGTATCGTACTAAAATTTTATAAACAAAGAAAAAAAGAAAATGTTTACTAGTTCACCTCCTTTGAGAATAACATGTTTTATTTAGCCTAATTATACTAATGTGAAAATACATTATGCATCGATCAGTTCATATTCATGCTGTTTATATTAATCATATGATGACATATTATATTTAATATTCACTAGTGTAATTCAATCAATGAAATTTCGAGAAAGTTTTTGGAATGTTTTCTAGATACATTCAAATCATATATAGTTTTCATAAGTCTGTGACGGTTTCACTGAAAATCCTATGATATTGATGATAGAAATTATCAATCAAGTTTTTTGAAATAAAAACGAAGATGCCAAATAAAAATTATTTCGTTTATGAAAGATCAAATATCATACTATTTTTCTATGCATAGATCGTGATTTCAACAATACTGACGAAGATTAACTTTTATTCGGAGACTTTCTACAAAACTTCGACTTACAACTGACACCCACTAAATTCTCCTTATAGGAGTCGTAATCTGGGTTCTACAAAAAAAAAATAAACCAATTAACTCTTATACTTACCATTCGATTCAAAACTCGAGGTACACTGGGCATAAACGTTGGTTTTAAATGAGCCATATCATCAGATAGTAGCTTTATATCACCTAGATAATAACCAATTTTAAAACCATTACATAAACAATAAAGCTAAAACATATGTATAAAAAAAAACATTTTTTGTCGAAGTTTCTCAACTATTTACTTCAGCAGCTTGTTCATATGCATGAGCCATTGGTAAATATGAAATTAATGTTTCCAATTCATTGAAAACAGGTGCCTAGATTAAAAAATACAACTATAGTAGTTTTTGATAATAAAAAATGATTTACAAGTAATTCAGTTGCTGTTTGAACTACAGAAACAATATTTTTATGTGTAAACATGGCACCTTTTGGTAAACCTGTTGTACCACTTGTATAACAAATTTGAAATAAATAATTAGGTTTAGGTGGCTAAAATTAAAACTTCATGAACCTATGTTATTATCTATTTTTCAAATTCTTACATGATGAGCTACTGGTCTTAATCGACCCAGTTCCTGAATGAAACACAAAAAAAAAAGAATGAATATTTGTTAAGAAGAATTCATTTTTTTCTAATCTTACTAATAATTGTTTGTATGTGAAAATTTGAATTCCTTTTCTCGAAGCTTTTTTCATTACTTTATATTTTTGATCTTCTGATAATCTTTTTGTTAATATGATCCGTTCTAATGTTGGAACTCGACGAGTAAGTTTAAGTAAAGCCAGAACATTTTCAGCTTTATCAATAAAAATTGTTCTTAACCCAGCTGTAACAAAAACAAAACATCCAAAAAAAAAAATTCATAAACAATTTACTCTGATTTATAATATGAATAATAGCAGATTGTCCGAGTGTATCATAAAGAGGTACATAAATCATACTATGAAAATGACATGCTAAAGCTGTAATTAGCCACTATGAAAAGAAAAATAGAAATAAAAAATCTAAACGGACAAATTTAATAATCATACTTCAACACTATTGACTGCATAGATACCAATGAATGTATTTTGTCCATGATTTTCACCTAATCGAATAAGTGCACTACCAATATCTGTAGCAGCACGTTCGGTCTATTGTAGAAGATATTTATTTGAATGATATAAAATTTTCAATTATTTACTTCTTTGTATGTCAGCCATAGATATTCACTGTTACGATTTACTCGAAAACCTAAACATCGATTGTCTCCTACAAAAGATACATTTAAATAAAATTTCTTAATAATTCAATTTTACCATGTTTTCTTGCAATATCTGTACCAATTTTAAAACCTTCGTAAATTGTAGTGTAAACGTGACCATCGATCGAGGATTTACCAGTTTTGCTAAATGATCGTGAACCAAGTGATGCAGCAACTCGAGCTTCTGAATAGCCTTGTGCCTTAAAAGAAAAAAAATATTACAACGTGACTATACAATTATTTTCTAAGGAAGGAAAAAAAAAATCATGTTTTATTCAAGTACTTCAGTACATTAGATTTAATTTAATAGTAAAGTGAATTATACCTGACCAAAAAAGAAATGATTTTATAGCTAAATCTTTACTTAATATTTTAATTTTTTTTTTGTTTTGATTTTACTAACCTCTGCTGGAATAGTTACTTTTTGTGAATCAATACCTTGAGTCATTTCTTCGTTAACACGATTTTCTACAAGAAAATATAATAATTTATCTTTCTGGCAATGAATACAGCGCTAGCAACAACACGTGTAAGTTCACAAGCAATAGTTAATTTTTCTTGTTAAGAAAACCAAAGGTTATTTTCTAATATTATTCGACCTATTTTTTCGATTGCACTTGGTAACGAAGTAAGCACAAGTTATAAATATAATTGCAAACTAAAAAAATATGAAAATATATAAGTCACAAGCATCAAAAAACAAAAATAAATGTACGGATCCTATCATAGCAATAGTCACGAAATAAAAAGAAAACGAATATTAAGAAAAAAAAACAAGATTCTTACCAATAGTCAAAAACCTGGTTCGCAATATCAAATGATCGTCATTGATAAATGAAAAACTTAAGTCAATGAATCATGACAATATTACCATACGTGACAGTAGAACATATCAAGGACTCGATCAAGCGATAAAGCACGATGATTTATCTCATTTCATCATTGTATTTCTAAAGTAGTCGTGACAAACCATTCATGCTTTCTCTTTCTACTTGTTTTTTTTCTCATACTTATTACCTATTAATAATTGTAAACATACAATTATATTCAATGAATGTAATATGTCGACTCATTGCTAATGAGGCACGTGCTTTTTAGAGCTGTCTGTATTTCATTGCGTAGATCTCAGTTATTTTAAGAACTAAATATTTCGTTTTTATATTATTACAAAGAAAATTATTTTCTGCATTTATTCATATACAAAAAAAAACATTTGTATCTAGTCAGATAATTGAGTAATCGATGATATAAAACGGAATATCTGAAAGATTTGCTTTATCTATACCTCAGATAAAACGTACGTTCAGCGAGCAAAATATTAGTTAATCGAACGCTCTAGTGAGAAAGAAAAAAAAACATTGTTATCAAATATAGATATGCTGCTATATAGAATATTAATTCAAAAGCCCATTTAGCTATAAAATGATTTCTTCTGAGAGTAATCCGAATTCATTCGAACTGTATCTATGATAGGCTTCTAAGGATAGTTGAGGAAGAAAATTTTCACAACCAGGACGTAGCGTAAAATAAATCAATCGAATTTCTATTGATGAACTAAAAAAGGATAATGACACCAATAATAATACAATGATTAGTTGGCCAATTTAAATTTCAATCTGTAAAATTTTCGACAATTTTAATCACCAGAATCGCTTCAATTGAAAACTATTCACTACCACTTCAGTCTTCAATTCTTTTGTTTGTTAATAATTGTATTAATATTTTCCGAGTTCATATCTAAAAGAATCTATCTCCAACGTGGATACAGAAACGCAATCAAATTTTGTTTGACATCATATTTGATCCACGCTGAAATGAATCAACTTTAAAATCAGTCTACCTGTTATTGAACCTAATTCTTGCTTTTAGTAAAAATTAACATTACACAAATGTTACAGATTTTGTCATTCACAAACTAATGTCAGTCTCTCCTAGACTTGATCATTTTCTTGTTCTATCAATTTTGAAATACATTTCTTCACTACTCTTTTTCTTGATGCTTCAGGAATGTACTAAAACAGAAGGGTATACATGATAACGTCTCTTGCTATGTGTGACCCAAGAAAAATGAAAAAATAGGTTGAAATAATTCAGAAATCGTTTGGTCAGTATTCTAGATTCCTGTACTCTTTATGATGGAATATGATATTTCGATTTCACCATGAGATGCACCTCGATATACCTTCAGATGAGACGTATTAAAATCATATGAAGGTGAATGAAGATTTAGTAATATATTTTATTGAATGATGCATAATACGAGATAGAGAACAAGAATAATGCCAATATATGAAGAAGTGATCGACTGTAGACAATGACAAAGACGAAGATTATCAGTGAAGATATCCAGATTGACGAATTCGGAGTCCATACATAATCGTTTACGATCGCACACACCATATACACTCCGTATTTCTCTGTATTACGTGGCTGAGTATTATGATCGTATATTTCCATATACGGAGAAAAACGGAGGTTGTATACGAAGGCGATCGCATTTTGTCTCTACACAAGAAAAATGTGATCATTTTTACCATATATTGCACACATTTTCACTACCAAACTAGAAAACAAATTTATTCCATTACATGACCTAAAATAAATAAAATAACATACTTACTTGTTCATTGAATTTATCTTCGTAAAGTATCTCCTATTGTATGTAGTTACTTTATATTGAATAGAATAGGTCGATTTAAGACGATTTCAAATCGCCTGCTATCTGTTCACAACGTTTCTTGGGCCGTAAAAACAAATAGTGATAGTTTGAATTATTCAAGTCCTACAAATGCTGACAAGGTTCAACAATAGAAAAATAAGAATCATAAATAGTTGTCTTCGAAATATAGAACAAAAGAATTTAGTTGAACTTTTTCAAAATAAGTGATGTGAAGATATTTTCGAACTTTCTTGTTCTAGAATCACCATGTCGAATTTGAACACTCTATTTTACATTTCATATTTGCTATTGACTAGAACATAGTTTTCTGTGACACTCATTCTATAGTTGTTTCAATTTTTAGTTATACGACGACTTTATTATTATCCTGTTGTTTTAGCAAAATAAAAATTAGAAAAATATGCAGTTCTAAACAAGTGGATAGCTTCCTGTATTCGCAATACCGCATTGATTTTTCTTGTTACGACTCATCCAAATGTAGCCTTTGTTACCCCACGATTCACCCCAAGAATTTTTTGCAATATAATACTCTTGTTTGGTTGTACCATTTTTATACGTATCATAGCCAACGAGAATGAAAGAATGATCGATATTTGTTGTCGAACAATCAGGCTCATCGTAGACGCCTGATGAATAGAATTGAAAAGATGAATGACTAGCATCAACCGCAACTGATATCGGACCCACAGTAGCGAGAGCAATTTGCAATGTGGTCTCATTTCCTTCTGGAAGATCGGTGAAACCCTATATCATAAACCAAAGAACAACTAGAGAAATGATATCACGGTGAACAACTGACCGTGTCGGTGGCACCAACATTTGCCCGCTTGAAGCGACATGTACCTTCCACTGCTTCGTATGGATAGCTTGCTTCTGTGTCTATACCTTTGTTGTCTTTGATGTATTGAAACGAGGCGTCCATCAATCCACCATTGCAACCTTGATTACCATATTTGCCAGAGCAATCCATCAAATTTTGTGCCGATAATCTTACCAATTTTCCCGTCTTGAGAAAATGTTGTCCTTCCAGGGCACCAGTGGCCGTGAATGCCCAACATGAACCACATTGACCTTGATCTTCAATCGCCGTTGTCACCGCTCCTTTTGTACGCCAGTCTAACCGAAGCAAAAAGAATATTAAATTCAATACTTTTATGTGTTTTGAATTTCTTTGCCTATCCAAATATCTATTATGAAACAATTGCTTTTCTTTAAAGTGAAAATATGTGAAAATCTACAATTTTCATTTGCGAGATGTTTCGGGTCATAATCCATGAATTTAAAGGTGCTTACCTATAGAAGGTGGTATGACCACATTCGAGGGTGGGAGAAATGTGTGTCGATCGAATGTGCTTGATATTTCCGTAGTCGAGCGTCTTTTGAATCCCCCGACCATCGTTCGAAGGAACTCTTCATGTGCCTAGACGGAAAAAAAAACAAAGGCTAATTTTTCCACAAAAATTGCTTTAGTTGAATTACCATATCAGCAAATTTGTTGATTTTGAGCGTATACGTATGCAAACCCAAGTCAGTTTCTAGATTGTGCTGATTGATTTTAGCAACATTGTTTTCAAAAACACCTTGACTAAACAAATAATTAATTTTCACAATATATAAATGTTAACTCTCATGTTTTTTTCTCGTACCGATATTGTTCCTCTTGACTATTGGCGTATTGTTTCTTATGAATACGCTTGAACAAATTCCAAATCAATGGATTTTGATAGTTATCAACAGCTTGAGCAAAACTCAAGGCAGCTATGAGAACGACAAACAAATGCATGTTGACAAAGGAATTTTTAATGAAGATGTGATGAGAAAAGAAAATTTTCACACGCATATTTAAGGTCGCAAGAGATAACAGATACGATATCATTGTTGACTATCATCATCATGATGACTTTTCGTTGCTTATTTGTTCCAATACATTACATTTTAATGATACAAGAAAGATTATTTATTCGAACTTCTCTCCGATTTTTCCCACATGTGAATGAAAAATAAAGAGCCATAATTCAAATATATATAAAAACGATCATTCTGCCGAACAATTGCTGTTTAAAAATTATTTATTGATTCTAGACTCTAATTAGTCTTTTAGTCTAGATACAATGTAACTCGAAAGCCTAATAGAGATGGAAATGGACGAAAATATGTAGAAAACATTTGTCATTGATCCAAACATAGATGGTGTGAGTGTGTGTATGCTGGGGTATGGATGGGTGTGACTGTTATTTTTATCTATATCCACACCCACACCTCGAGTATACGTGCCGAAGCATTTTACAATAGAAAAGGAAGGAGGTCTACAATGTTATTCAGAGTTGATATTTTTGTGGCGCTTATTGTCTCTGCGTCAATGTCGTGCTAGGCCAGGGAAGCGATGGTGATTGTATGGCCAATGCCGGATCTTGCCAAGACTGTTTGTAACACATCTACTCAACCTGTGACAATACAACATTCATTGCAGATCATCTTGCATATACTGATAATCGTTCGTACACATCTCTATTTTGAGATGGACTCCTCTACAACATGACGATTTTGTTCGAGAGTCACTTCTTGAAGCCCTATGAAATGTGTATTCAACCAGTTGGCTGCGCAAAGGCATTTCATACGCCCGACAACAGAAGCGAGATCATTATCGATTAGAATATATCAAATGAAAAGCTTGTCTGTTTTGGAACCCAGTACACAGATAGACCCACAATGAAGTTTCGTTTCGATGTCAGAGTCCAATGACATTGCTATGGAACATTCATCAATTTTTTCTATCGGTTATTGTAACTCGACAAGATTTTGAATTTCTAAGAATCGACTGTCAAGATTGATATCAACAGAATAAGATGAATTAATAAATAGGAGATACCGATAGTGATAAACTTCAAACATGTTACTTCTTTTCCTTAGACTTTCTCATCGTGTTCTAGCTCTTCTTTTCGTGCTAGCTAGCTCAAAAGCGTCAGAGAGAATTTTCTTCGAAACTGGTCGAATGCTCGAAGACTCGGTTGACTTTCTTCTTTTTCTGCTGGTATAATCTTTTACCTATTTAATGAACATGTACAACGAGAGAACTGATGATAGCTGATGTGTACACTCTAAAATAAGGATCGTCCTATGTATCCACGGGACGAATATTTTAAGATTGCATAATAAATTGTGTTTTAGAGTATAGTTGTCGATTCCTACACTGCTACTCATCATCTTCTGCTGACATTCTCTCCTTTCTCTTTTTCTTCAATCTTGTTAATGTTCTTCTCTTTCCGTTATGGCTCATACTGTAGACTGTTTTGGGGCATCTCAAATTCTATATGATTAGACGCAATTTCAAAACCTCTCCAAGATAATATTTTAAAATTCGTCATGATTTCACAATTGTGGCCGCAAGCGTCTTCGGAATCAAAAAACAACGCGTTTTTTTCCCTCATTTCTAGCGTGTATTTTCGCCTTCATTCTCACCTAGCTCCAAATTATTCGATAGAGAAATTTTAGAAATAATAGTTTTCGTAGAGCAGTCGATAGACTATTGAATGAAATGTGAACGGATCATATTCGTTGAGTTCCTTTAAAGAAAATTGAAAAATACGAACTGCAGTCACATTTAGAACAAAAATAGCATATGTCAATTTGCCTTACATGCAAACAAAAATGATGCATTTACCCTTTAGAAGACGAATATTTTATATGGATATAAAGAAGGGAGAGAGTAGATGCAAGAAAACTGACAATCGCTTGTTTATCGTCCTCTATACTAACCATTATTGCAGGAAAAGCAGAAGAAAAAAAAATCAAACAATGGACATTATAGAAAAGAAGAAAGAAAAAGCTGAGTTCTCGTATTTTTCTCTTCAACATGCGCAACATTTTTCCTGTTCAGATCTTGTGGGTGTGGCTGTTACAATGTTTCCTTCGTCCGCATCCACACACATTCGCAATTATCCAATCACACCCACACCCTTATTAATATTTAATGAATTATAAATCATTTGTAAGCCACATATATTTCAACTGTATCAAATTTATTATAATTTCTATTTAAAATAAATATAAATCATGAAAAAAATATTTATAGTTAAAGAAATTATAAATAATCATAAGTTATTATTTATTTTAAAGTAAATGAAGAATTACACTTCTGATGACGTGATGTCACTTATTTACACGTGATACAAGCACGGTAAATATTTATTAGAGAAGCGTAGCTCATTGCATGTATATACCTGTGATAGAAAATAAAGAAAAGGAACAGACATGAGTAAAATGACTCAAAAAAAAACTCCATGGACAGAATATTTTATCGTTCTGTTTCTTCCCACTTATACTACACATGTCTCTTCTTTTGCTTTCGCTTTTATCCCTCAAGGCTCATTATACAAACACATATAGACAACAAATAAATTCATATCAGTATATGATTGCCTTCTTGAATATTCGATAATTAGAGAACTATTAAGATTAAAATGCTTGATATCTACTTATTGAATATTCATCTCTTACAATATTTGAAAAGCAATTATAATATTTGAATATCAAAATAAATTATAATTATTATATTTTGTATATTACTACAAAATTATGACTATAATAATGTAGAATTTTGCAAAATTCGATAAATAATTTGAGAAATAGAATACAATATCTAAGTAGTTTCCCAGTATCATACATTTATTGAACAATTTTTTTGAAAGATGTTTACTTTGTCATTCATAATTTCTTTCTATAAGTTTGACATATATCTGCTGTTAATGATGTTAAAATCTAATTTAACAACAATTATAAGAAATTATGATGATTTATGAAAGTGGGATTGTAAAAGTCGAAAAAAAAAGATAAGTAGTGCATCGTACGAAGTATTTTCTAAAAGAGTTGAAATAGATCGTCGAAGAATAGTTGCTAATAGTATCAAGAGAAATAATGAGTATATTAATCGATTTCGAAACTGTCTAAGAGATAGATAGGTAGAATATTGTACGGAGTGGTTCATAAGTTACTCAGCACTGTTTTGTTGCGAATAAATTTTGATAGGAACAAGATAGAGAGTTGCGGTTGTCACTCTTCGAAAGAGGCTGGATCATTGAAAATCATATTCAAATGAATTTGCTTGCATATGTGTGTTTGTTTTTTGCTCCTTTCTGATCATTCTTTTTCCATTCGTCTTCCTAATGTTCTACTGTTGCTATGCGCAGTCCTTCTCAATAGAATGTATATTTGAAGAGAGTATAGAAAAAAAAAGAACGACGCAAAAGACACAGAACGGAAGAAAAAAAACGTGGTCATGCTGCAAGAGTATGAATCGAGTCATTTGAAGAAAAAAGCAAAGCGCGTACGACTGAAAAAACTTCATATCAGTGGCAAAACGTGTCGGTTGCATTAATGTAACTGTGGTGAGTTCAATATTAGGAAGGTTCAAAAAGACAAAGAACCTACTTCGAATGGTATAAACTTGGTATTGCGTGACACTGCGAACATTAGGAATATTCAATAAAGATATGGCATTAACAATCATGGTCGACTATACACAAGCTGATCGACACGACAATGTATGTCAGTCGTCGACTGTGTTGATGTGTTACTTATGCCGTGACAACCGTTCAAAAACCACTGTTTAACGGCGGCTCTTTATGATTTATCTGTACGTCTTACTTTATGAATATTTTTAATCTCCTAGAAAAATGATTGATTTCAATTAAGATGGCGCCTTCTAATGATTGTCAGTGCACTCAAGCCATCTGTACCAGCTACAGTTACATCGACTATTTTTGGTCACTTTTCAAGTTGGACTATTTATTTAAGATAGCACCACAAACATAGCCATGGGTTGTGTGTGAGGGTGGGGTGGAGATATCGCATGCGAAAAAAGTTGGACCTGCCATCAAACTAAAGTTGATTAAATGATGGCTTTTTTTCGATCATTTCTTGTTTTAATCGATTTTGATTGGATTATGGGTCTAATTTTTTTCACATAGGATGGTGCGGATATGAGTACAGATACAAGCAGACACATATCAACACCCTCACTCACACTCAATATACTGAATTTTAGATTTTGTGTCTTCTAGCTTCATCGATCAATAGACAACAATGACACTCGAAGAACAAATACAAGAGGTACGAGGCAAGTTGTAGTTAATCTGTCTATGTGAAAGAAGTTCTGTGAAAACACGACGACTTCTTCTGAGAATCGAAGAGGATCGTTCGAACTTCTTGACAAAAGATATTCGTAGATGTTATACCCAAACGACGACTGAAAGTGATTCATGAACATTTCATCTATCATAGGTCAGCATTGACATCGACGAAATCAAACGCGTTATTGACTATACCACTCGTCCTCGCATAAAGCAAAATCTAGAGCTTCAACAGCGCAAGTTTGAAAAGGAATTAAGTCAACTTCAAGAGAAGCTGCAGAAACAACAACAGGCTGCTGCTGAGGCAGCAGAAAGAGCAGCCCGTGCTAGTACCATACCAACCGCTACTCAATCATATACGAAGGATATATCAGTCTATGGTAGGACAACAGTACCATCACGATTTGTGTCTATATTCTTCTATTGGTTGCAGCATGGGATCAAACCGATAAATTCGTCAAGATCTACGTTCAAAATCTGGATGGAATCGGCAGCTTACCCGAAAACCAGGTTCAGTGTTCGTTCGAAAAACGGTAAGAATTGATGGTCAGATCTTTTTTTTTCGGGTTTTTTTATTACTTCAAGTGGCACCATCGTAGTGGTTTTCATCTTCAAATTCAAAATCTGAAAAATATCAATTATTTCTTGAAGATACTCGGTCTTCTGCATGATATTGAACCGGGCCAATCAACCTTCAAAGTTCGTTTGTGATATGAAGTTGTCTTCTAATTTTCTTGTGAATATCTCGCGTCTCTAGGTCAAAAAGGATATGATCATTGTGTCTTTACGAAAAGTCGAATCGAAAAATTGGGAATGCTTGCTAAAGGACGAGAAGAAAACACCTATCAAGTAAGTGAAGTCATTTTCATGCTTCAAGCTTCCTTATGTCTAATAAAATTGTTTTCTTTTTCAATATAGACCACTTCCAAAACCTGATGGGTCAAAAGATTCAAATGAATCTTTCATGAATATGGTAGAGGAAATGTACGAAAATGGCGACGATGATACGAAACGTGCTATTGCCAAAGCGTGGGTCCAATCGCGCGAGAAGGCGAATACTTTTGCTAACGAACCGCATGACAGAAAGAAACCTAGTATTCTCGAAACACCTGACTTCACAATTTATCCTCCTCCTTAACAGAACTTATTACGAAAAAACATTCTAATCAAGATTTGATGATACGTTTTTCTTGTAAAGTGATTATTATCAGAATAATCATTCATTGACAAATTTTGCTTTTCTTTTTACATTCACTATTTTCTTAGAACATTTAAACGAATTTATTTCTTTAAAAGACAGTACATGGGTATTGCGGACTATATTAGTCCTCAACGTTCTGTTAGTATAATAAGTGATACTTTGACAGAACTTTGTTCTTCGAAATTCAATTCAATATGGTTCGCTATCTGGTGGCTGATTTTTAATGAATCTCTATCTACCGTTAAAACCTAGAAAAATTTCAGAAGATTAATTTTTCTTAAATTGTAAGGAGATAATTGAATGCGAAAGATCATTGAAGAACCAGAAACGGAAGAACTCTTTCAACTCACAAACAACGTCGCTTACGTACTTAGGATAGACGAAAATCACGTAGGTTTTGAAGATTTACTCAGAGGTCAAATGGATTAATTGTTCGAAGTAATAACCTTGATTATTTTTACACAATTTCACCCGCTCAATGATTTTATTAAAAGTCTTATTATAGTCATCGTCACTCAACGAGTTGGAAATAGCTTGGTTACAAAACGATACCACGTTCTAGAGTTTTTTTTTATCAGCCAGGCTTTGTTTGATTAAGGTGAGTAGCCAGAAATCATATGGTGCCATTGCTAAAGAATCAGGTGGTTTCACATATTAGTGATATCCTTTTAGTGTGGGGAGAGGAAAGAGCCACTAAGTGTGAGTGGTTATTGTTATGTCTTTATAGACAGAACTTGTTAGTACACACACCTACGTGCACATTCGCAGCAACACCTGCCTACCCATACCGATTGCCATGCCCAAGCCTCTCATATCCCATACTAGGGACGCACCAAACCTAATGAAATCTACACCCATTTATAGACGAATTTACGGTAAATAAAGTTTTCCATGAGCTTAAATCATAATATAATCAAAGCATGAATCGACACAATTAGTTTCTTATATAGCAGGAGGAATTTTCCAACGTTTTTTCTTCTTATGTGTAACTCTATTCAAATACACAGAAATTATATTGTTACAAATTTCACTTTCATGCGAAGAATCATTCTAATGAACAAAAGCAAAATCAATGAGAGAAAAGTCATCAATCAACTAGCACTTCCATAAATAGACAGACACTCACATAAAAATGATTACGTCATTATGTTCATACATCTATTTACATCATAATAACAGTAGTATTTTTTTCGCTCTCCGTTTTCATTCTTTTATTTGAGTGTAATTTGCTATTGTCATCTAACTTTCTTGATTATCAGCATAGTCTATAGTGAATACATGCAGTCTTCCAATGGCAACAAAGAATAAATTTAACATTTATTTTATTGCTGTACAGTTTTTCTGCAAAAAAAAATCAAATTATATATAGATTAAAAATATTCATCAGCCCTTCTGATTATTGTTTCAAAAAAATTTCATTTTCCAGTTGATTTAGGCAAAAAACACATGAATTCTCCTTATGAATCACTGCACGAGAGTCACGCCCGACATCCAATATAACTGCTCCATCGAAAATTTTATATTTGGATAAGAGTTATCCTATTTTGTAGAAACGATTATTTTATTCAAAAAATGTTGACAAAAAAAAGGGTAGATCATAGTTGAAATTGAAATGAAATTGAATAACGTGCTAGAATACAAAATAGTTTATTCGAAATATCTGTTGATAGACACATAGTATTCATTGATTCATAATGTATTGAATAATGCTGCCAATAATAACGAGCGCTAATGATAAGCCGAGTGAACTTGAAATAACTGCACCTGAATTACATCTGTCATTCCTACAGCATGTGATTCGGCTACCAGTCCCAACGAAGACAGAATCATCAGGACAACAATTTATTACGGCATCACGAATTGTTGAAATGACTTTGCTGACAATTAAGACAACAATTTTCTGTCAATTACGGAGACAATACATTTGTCATATGGCAATATGTGATGGATTTCTCAGGTTTTTTTTTTAAATTTTCTTTGAAAGAAGTATTTTTTATACGATGGATATTTTTATCGAGAAAAAGATTTACAAATGTCTTTCTTGTTCATGACAATTATTTTAATTATTTCACGATGCGTTGTATCATATCATTAAATTTTAATTCATTGATGAAAGGAATACACAAATGGCAACGTAATTGTTTTTTGAATTGAATGTCTAGGAAGTGCTTCTCCTCTGCAGACAATTTATCTTCATTAATGATGTAGTTGAAAATAAAAAAAAGGATGTCATGTAGAGAGACAGAAAAAGAAAGTCGAACAACAATCTTAATAACCCATATTTACGATACGCTTACAAGGTCACTCTACAGAAAAAATAGTATATAGTGAAAGATAGTTATGTTGATAAGGATGGCTCTTTTCTGTCTTGTCTGTTCTCTTAGAGATAAGTTGTTCGTCACGAATGTTATGCTGCTTCATTTCTTTCATTTTCTGTTTTCTTCGATGTTTTTAACTGCTATTTTCATCAACGTAAGTTATCTATTCCATTGCAGAAAAGATAAATGTATACACATCCTATAAACACAATCATACAGAAAATAAATCGAACGACTTCTCTCTAGGGGAAGAGATAAGACAGATGAGAAAAAGAAGATGTAAAGAAAAGGGTCATTGTTAGAAACATCATTCTCTCTTTCTACGCACAATTTTTGTTGTAGAGAGCCTTATAAGAGAATCGTGAATATGGCTCGTTACTATGGAAGTGACAAAGTTTATTTTATTAGAATTTTCTATTGCACTTAATGCGTTTTTTCTAGATCAATTTTTATTATCTATTCTTGTCAAACTTATCCAATAAGAACCATAACTGCAAAGTATCAAAGAGAAACGTCAAAGGATGGTTTTAGGAAAGGGTTTTGTTTGATAAAAAATTCAGTTTGGGACGACGTACTTTTCATACGAAAACTTTCAACATACCGCATTTTGGGCAAACGATTTTTTCATATTTTGGATGGAATCTGACGTATAGCGTTCCTACAGAGAAGGCTTGCGTCGATGAAATAGGATGGGTTTGCAACCTAGGAAGTCCTCTATCTTTTAAAATAAGGCCGAGCTCGAATGGTCGCAGTGAGGAGAAAATACTGGCAAAATACTCAACGTACCCATTTTTCAATAGTCAAATAGGTCCCAAAATATTATTTCGATCATTGCTCTACATATTGGATAATCAAATGACCTAATATTTTGGATTTAAGTATGACTCGATTAGACCTTTCGAGTGAGATATAAAAATTTCTCCGGTCGGGTTAACTGATTCTCTCTAAAGATGGTGTGAGACACAAAGTTATCACATTTAATCCATTTCTAAAACTGATTTTTATGTGTAGAAAATATCTACTATTATGGACAATACGACAATTCCTCATTGGTATTTGATTCTGGATGGATTGATGTTTACTGCTCCTTCAATAAGTGCTATTATCTCGCTCATCTTTTTATTAACTCTGTGGCTAGCTAACGTCGAGAATGTCATTCTGTAGTCAATTTAATCTTCTGTTATACTCAATTGGAGATCTTCTTCGTAAGTGAAATAATGCTTTATTCAGTGACAACTGTTCTGAATAGCGATCTACATAACATCGTAGCAATTGATTCTCTATGTATTTGGCGATGTTATTTTGTCTATACGGGTATCGTCTGTGTCTATTATTCCTTTGTTACACAATCTTTATATAGGTATATTCGTGTGATCTATGCATCTCGATTTCGATACTCACCAATGACAACATTCTGCATTATAATGATAGCAGAATGGATTATTATTCATGGAATCGTGCTCTACTTACCGCTCAGTGGTTAAATCGAGTTTGAAGCTGACAGTCAAATATGTAGCATGTTATTATCTCGCTATTCGATTATCTGGCCTATGACTCTTTTGATATATATATCCTCGTTCATTATAATTATATTCATTTATTTTCGTCTAGTTCTATTGATCAAGAAAAGTCACCTTCGATCAACAAGTGTCAATATTCGTAATGCTCGTCGTGAACTCGTTGTGGTGAAACGTATGATTTTAGTGTTGTCTATTTTCTTTATCACCGGTATATCCTATATGATGTATTCTATTCTTGCTATAATTGACCAGAATATGTTACCAATTTATTATCATCGAATAATAACCTTTTGTTATGCTGTTGCATTGCCAGTAATTTCAAGTATTATCTTATTAAAAAGTACTGATGTGAGAAAGACAATCGTTCGTTTTATGATGATGAGAACCAAAATACATGTTCGTCCACTTCTTGTTCCTCTTCCTCATGTGAATGCATCAGTCGAATAATGGACTTATTCTGTTTCGAAAAAAAAACACTGCAGTGTAAGCACCAATCATA